CAACTGGAAAAACAGCATTAACAAGGATCAATACAGCCTTCCTTCGACATACTAACAAACTCAATGAATTCAAGACAGCTCTCAACAACAGGTTCCAAGCCTTACAGGATCTACTGAAGGAAGAAGAAACTACTATAGAGGACAACTGGAAAGGTATCAAAGAAGCATTAACTTCAACGTGTCAAGAGGTTCTGAGCCTCAAGAAGCACCACCATAAGGAATGGCTTCTATAGAAACACTGGACAGGATCAAAGAAAGGAAGAACAAGAAGACAGAAATTAACAACAGCCGAACACGAGCAGAGAAAGTCCAAGCACAAGCTGAGTACATAGAAGCAAACAATCAAGTGAAGGAATGCATTAAAGCAGACAAGCAGAAATACGTGGAAGAACTAGCAACGAAGGCGGAAAAAGCTGCAAGAGAAGGATCTATGAAACAGCTTTATGATACAACGAATAAACTAACAGAGAGATACAGCAAACCAGAGAGACCGGTCAAGGACAAAGAAGAAAGGCCAATCACTGAAATTCAAGAACAGCGGAACAGATGAGTAGAGTACTTCGACGAACTCCTGAATGGACCGGCTCCAATGAATCCACCGAACACAGAAGCAGCACACACAGATCTTCCTATAGATGTCAATCCACCAACGACGGAAGAAATTACAATGGCCACCAGACAAATCAAGAACGAGAAAGCAGCACGACCCGACAGCATACTAGCTGAAGCACTGAAATCAGACATCGAAGCAACCACAAGCATGCTTTATCTTCTATTCAAAAAGATTTGGGAGGAGGAACAAGTGCCGATGGACTCGAAAGAAGGACACCTCGTCAAGATTCCAAAGAAAGGAGATCTGAGCAAATATGAAAACTACAGAGGCATTACACTACTGTCAATACCAGGGAAAGTCTTCACCAGAGTGTTGCTGAACCGAATGAAGGATGCAGTAGACGCCCAATTTCGAGATCAACAAGCTGGATTCCGTAAGGATCGGTCGTGCACAGACCAAATTACAACACTACGGATCATCGTCGAACAATCAGTTGAGTGGAACTCATCACTATACATCAATTTCATTGATTATGAAAAGGCATTCGACAGTGTAGATAGGAGGACATTATGGAAACTTCTTCGACACTACGGAGTTCCTGAGACGATTGTCAATATTATCCGGAACTCATACGACGAACTACAGTGCAAAGTAGTGCATGGAGGACAGCTGACAGATGCATTCCAAGTAAGAACCGGAGTCAGACAAGGCTGTCTACTCTCTCCTTTCCTCGTTCTTCTGGTGGTCGACTGGATTATGGAGACCTCGACATCTGAAGGGAAACACGGAATACAATGGACAGCTCAGAATCAATTAGACAATTTAGACTTCGCAGATGACCTAGCCCTCCTATCCCATACACACGAACAGATGCAGATGAAGACAGCCAGTGTAGCGGCAGTCTCTGCATCAGTAGGCCTCAGCATACACAAAGGGAAAACCAAGGTTCTCAAATTCAAAGCGGAAAACAGCAATCCAATCACTCTTGATGGCGAAACTCTGGAAGATGTAGAGTCCTTCACATACCTAGGAAGCATCATCGATGAACAAGGAGGTTCAGATGCGGACGTAAAGGGGAGGATTGGTAAAGTAAGGGTCACATTCCTACAGTGGAAGAACATATGGAACTCGAAACAACTGTCAACCAATATCAAAGTCAGAATCTTCAATACGAGCGTCAAGGCAGTTCTAGTGTACGGAGCTGAAACTTGGAGAACTACAACAACCATCATCAAGAAGGTACAAGTATTTATAAATAGCTGTCTACGCAAGATACTCAACATCCATTGGCCGGATACCATCAGTAACACAATTTTGTGAGAGAGAACAAACCAGCTTCCAGATGAAGAGGAAATCAGGAAAAGACAATGGAAATGGATTGGACATGCATTACGCAAATCATCAAACTGCATCACAAGGCAAGCCCTAACTTGGAATTCTGAAGGGAAGCAGAAAAGAGGAAGGCCAAAGAACACATTACGTCGGGAAATAGAAGCGGATACGAAAAGGATTAATAACAACTGGGAAGAGCTGTAAAGGATTGCCCAGAACAGGATTGGATGGAGAATGCTGGTGAGCGACCTATGCTCCTTCATGAGGAGTAACAGGCGTAGGTAAGTAAGTCAGCATATACTAATGGGTTCAATCACTGAAATATATATATCCTGGAATGTTCATATAATAATCCCTACTTAATTGGTTTATTATCGGTCCTCGATTATAAAGATGACGAATATACTAGCAATATATTTCTAACAAATGACAATAGCTTTCATTATAAAAATCCATACAGATTTTTTACGAACAAATTGTTAGCCCACAGTTGTGCTTCGAAAATCGACCAGACTTTACTAATTGTCTGTCAAGTCGTTTGTTCTAGACTGATTCAATTCCAACATTTTTGATGGAAAATGTTTGGTTTTATCCTGCCATTTAAAAACCACAACTCTATTGACCAAATATGAGCACTTGATGAGAAACATGTCTACTGGAGTTATAGAACAGTCATTGAATGCACTTTATTTTAAATTCTTTAGAAGCTATAAGCTATAACAATTCAAGTAATAAACTAACTGAAGATCAATTAGCTGACAAACACCATGATATTTCCTTACTTATATCAATACACGTGGACAACTGCGAACACTCATTGGATTGGAAAATTGTGGAAATCTTGGATAGAGGAAATTCCAAAAACACCAGAGAATTTTCAGAAGCTTGGCACTCAGGTCAATCAGCAGTCAACAAACACGACGAAATCGATGCAATTTATCAACCAATCAGAAAAATTATGACCAAATATAGGACCAAAAATCAAACCAACGGGAGATACAACCAAAACAAAGAAGTAAACAATGACAGATTTAAGGTCAATAAGAACCAATCAACATCGAGGTCTACAGGACAAGCTGTGAGCCATATGTAGAGAAATTCGAACACTTCACTTCTGCCTGAAGTTTGTGCTGATGGTATCATTCAGAATAACGATGAAAGCTCCACGACCAAATCATTCAGCTCGGAGAACAAAACTCCATCAAAACCACCCACCTGAGCTACAAATCTTCTCCACCATCTCAAGAGCTGAACTTTGAAAGCTAGACATGTCATCCATTACCAAATGGTAGACTGAAGATAGGTGATACCTTAATATTCGTCACAAATAAACTGATGAAAGGGATATTGAAATGCATTATTGGCCAAACCCAGTATAGGGTCAGTGAAATGTCACTGGGCCATGGCCAAATCATCCTGCAGTTGGGTCACTGAAAATCGAAAGGATCATCGATCCCTGTTAAGGTCGAGCACAACCAACGCGCATCAACTAATTGTAGACCATAGACTGGCCTATGCAATGGTGGTCACACTTTCGCCTTAACCTTCTCTAACTAATATATTTCTGTAGTAACGTTCTTTGCGTTATACGGTTTTCATAGCAGTAATAGTATCTTGATACGACGAAGGGGTAAACCTCACTTGGTGTTGACCGTGAGGTGTGACTTTGAAATTGGCAGTTGGTCACACTATTCCCGTCTAACTGGAGTAGGTCCCCAATCATTCGAAAAAGATCATGTACGTTAGTGATCAGTACCAGAATAGTGTAAACTTTAATAAATTGTTCGACGAATCCAATTGATTTCTATAATACTTATGGTTAATTTTTCACAGTGTACTGTGCATATATGGGAAAGTCTCTTTGTTTGTATAGAACAAAGATAAGAACCATGTATATCGCGAGACACCATAGACAGAATAACTCAGTTTTTAAGATTATTTCCCCTATATAGACGGTTACTCAGCATCATCAAATGAAAATAATGATAACTACGCTGCTGGTATGAAGGTATCTCAATATGTAGATGACGATTTGCGTAGCCTTCAAAACGTTCCTAATCGGTTACTTAATTAGTGTTTGATATGGATTGTACGTGCCAACACAGTTACATATTTTTAGACATCCTTTGCAGGTAGAGTTGGAATGAATTTCGACGTGATTAGGAACATTCTCTCTTAATTCTTGGAAACTATTACTTAGATGTCATTACAAAAACGAATTTGAGATTTCAGTAGATTATGGCAGCTTGTTATGATTTCATTTGATCCACTCTGTCAAGGTGTTTCTGTTTATCAAACGGGTCGTTTCGACCTTACCACGTATTTTATAATCTACTATGGACCTCTGTATTCACATGAATTTTTAAGTAATTATTGACTTATGTGTGTCTGTCATCTATAATCTATGATCTCTACTCTATCCACCTTATGTAAATGCTGAGTCACTGTACCCGATATGTAAGCACTTTTACTTACTCCGCTTTTTGCCGTTTGTTGTCTTCTCGCATCATCGAAAGTTAGACATATACACATTCGAAGAACTTTCTTGTTTAGTCTTTTGTTTTCACGGTGTGCTGATATGGTCAGGCCGCAGAATATATAAGAATTAGAGTCTATGCTTCATAACTAAATGATGTAAATGTATCAATTAAAAACATTAATACTGTAACCGGTAAACTTAACTGGTTGTTGAGGATTTATCGCTCTTAATTGAAACGGGAATATTTATCAAATGGAAGAAAAGAACAAAATACTTTGGAATTCAATGGCCAACTGGGTTTAAATTTAAGTATGGAAATGGGGATCAGGAGCTACTTTGAGTGGTTAGCAGACAAGGTCACTTCATGACCTCTTGTCTGTGTTTAATTCAATAGTAGTAGTTTTGAGCATTTTGAGGTATCGTGCAGTCAATATCTTGTTTCGATGATCAGGCTGTTTTGATATCACACATTTATTACCGCCATTAAACTTCCAATGTGAGCGAGTTTTATGTGTTCCGTGGATTGACTCAATTTTTCTACTTTTCAAATCCTAGACATTCGGGAACGCTGTACCTACTTCGTCAAAAGACGTTTCAAGACTATACACTAACCTACCAAAAACTAAATGTTATGTGATGTGTGATTCGATTTTTCCCCATAATTGCAAGTAAGTGTTCAAACCATCTTAACAGAGTTTCTAGGTTTTATTTCAATGCAGAGCAGTCTCGCGTTAAGTGGAAGGAGTCCATAAAAAGTATCTTGGTTGTTCATAAATTTTGTGATCTCAATGTTATTGAAAGTTTGAAATCGTTTGTCCACTACGTGCTAAAGGTTCGTCCTCAGACTTTTGTCCCTATTCGATAGGTCATTTGTTTTCCTAACTAAACTGTACTGTTTTTTTGGTGAGACCAAAGTTTATGAATGAATTTTGAGCTATATAACCTCGAGAATCTCCATACGCTATGATTAAATGAGGGTTGTAAGTTAGTGGGAGGAGTCAGAACTGGTGTTTAGAGTTAGAATGTAACGTTAAGAATTCGAATTAGCGTTTTCGTCTCAAGCTGAAATAAACTATAGTTCCAGAATGCTATTTAGCCATATGTATGGTTGAGTTTTACGCTAAATTCCAATAACTGACATCTTAAATTTGATACGTCTGTTAATAAATTATCGTTTCTTGTTCTCTCGAAATAAACATACTTATAGCTCACTCTAAAGTATTTGTAAAATTTTATGCAGAAGCTCGTAGCACCAACAGTCATGTACCCAATTAATTGGTAGGCTATTATAGTACCTGGAAACCCTTCGAGCTAACTTGGTACATATTTTATTCGATTCGTACCGAGGAAATCTGAATTGAATTCAATGGGATTTTCTAATGCCATACAACCTTGTAATGATAAGGACTTCGTAGTTTTGACTTCAGTCGAAATGTTGTGGTTTTAAATTTAATGTCGGTGGCATAGACTGTTTGTTTTTAAATACAGCCCTGATTGTAACGTAGTGTGGTGCTCAAACTGGTTGTTTTTCACTACGTACAAACATTTGGAAGTAAATGTCTGACAAACTGGCGTTCCAACGATGACTAAACTGATGAACCAGAATAGTTTATTTTCCAGTCAACGGACATGGATTACCATAATTACCGTCTAATTTTAAAAGAGTAATTATATAGACCCTATTTTTCGGTAGGACTCTAATTTATGGACTAGCCAATCAGAAGTGTTTAAGGGGTTTCAAGGTCACGGCGCTAAGTTCAATGCGAGATGCTCACATTCGATCGTTTTACAGCAGATTTTAGAGAAGAGGTGATCGTTGAGAGACTACAGCAAATGGGATTATTAAGGAGTTCCTGTGTCTGTGACTGCGGCAATCAAATGACCGCAGCACGATGTGCAGACTACCCCGATGACATTGTATTTCGTTGTACTATATGTTGGAGAAAACAATTTGCTCGAATAGTTACGTTTTTGCCCGGTCACGGCTAAGGCTAAGACAAATCATGATAATCGTTGCAAATTGGATCATAAAGTCTCCAGTAACATTAGCTGCGGCTATACCTATGATTGGAAAGCGTATAGATGCCTCTCGAAACTTGGTTTTGTGCATCATGTGGTGCACAAACGTCATTTTGTTGATCCAACGAAGGGGGTCCATACAAACAACATTGAGGGCATGTGGTCTAGGCTGAAGTATTTTTTAAGACCCTACCACGGCTCCAGAGGACGATTATTATGGAGTCATATGGACGAGTTCTTATACCGCATGCACTATGATTTCAAAACTTCTGAACCTTTATCAAACCTCAACAAGTTCTTAAATCATGTAAAAGAAGAATATCCATTGTAATTCATCACTGTTCTATAATATATTTTTACTTTATACTAACTCTCTTCTGATTAGCTAATGTTCTCAAGGTCACTTGAAAATTCGTTCGAAGGTCGTCCATAAAGTAGAGTTTCACCTATTTTTCTTATATTGGTGCTCCAATATTCTGTTAGGATGAAGTATAATTTTGATTTAAAGCGTACTCGACTGTTGGACTTGCTGGACATGTAGTTTGTTTTAACGTTAATTAAACACTCGTTTTATGCTTTGCAAGTAGAAAAATCACGTACAGTCAACAGTTTCAAGTATAAGCTATTCAGGACTGATGAAAAAACGGAAAATTTCCAATTACAGTTATTTCTGTGTAGTTATCTACAGGTAGTTTTAACTTCTGATAATGAAATAATGTTATAACCTCATTGAACTGCACATTTTATCTTCAAAATAAAAGTAATATTACAAAGAACACAACATAGCTTTAAGACACGTATCATCAATGATTTTTTCAAACGGTAGTGATCATGATCTTGGGGTTCTGTATAGTTTTATGCTTGGGCTATTTATTACTAACTCAACTTAAAAAACGGTCGTTTCGTGACAAGATATCCAGATAAATTTCTATCTTTATATCGTTAATCATAGAAATGGGATCTGACTATCTATTTGGAGTCGATTACGTTAGATGAACTGAAGAGTGATGATTTATTCTACCCAATTATCCAACAGTACGTAAATTTGGGTAACGATGAATTCAAGCAAGTCACTACTGAACATGATGTTTCCAGACTTTGTGAAAATGCAGCAGAAAGTTCCTCTAAAATTAATGAAAAAAGCTCGATCAGGATCTTTGATCATACTGTGCGAAATAAAATTGATTTAATTGTTTGTCTTGGTGGTGATGGGACTCTTTTACAAATTGGATCGATGTTCCAGGTATATATATGTATATAGTCATGTGTTTGATTATTTTAACTCCTTTTTTAAGAAGCAGATTTTGAATTTCTTGTGGTATGTGTTCAGAAAAGACTTATTGACGAATACTGTCTCTAAATAAAGCGGTTTACTAGGTGATAAGGCAATCTTAGTATTTCAAGACATCATTTGTTTATTAAAGTACAAACTGGTACGAAAAGGCACCAGGAAATATACACGTCACACAATAGAGAAGGGAAGGTGACTATAATAAGAAAAGGACGAAAATAGATATAAATTAGTGTATAAAAGTGTAATGATAATGAGAGAAGAAGTTCAGTTATGGAAAATACAATCAGTAGGAATTCTTTCAGGTAAAGAGGTTCCTTTCACTCATGTGAAAGAAAGTAAGAGAGTTACAGCAGGATCGCTATTAGCTTCTACTATAAGCCATGTCTGATAACGTCTCAGGCCACTATTCCTCCATCTCTAGAACCCTTACCATGGAGTCATGAAAAACCAACGGAAGCCAGTCCTATACTGCTTTCTTTCATACCGCGACATCATGTCGTGTACTAACCACTTGTCCGCATTTCCCAACCAGTCCCAGCGTCGAAAAATAATGTACGATGTGGAATTCGCTGGGATGAAAAAGTCAAAAACACTAGAATAATAAAAACATTCTTATATAATCACCCGATTTCACCGTTTACATTTACTTACATTTAATAGTAAGATAAGCAGAAAGGTTTTGTCGAATTTTGATTGAGTACAGAATCACTATCTATGTACCTTGTACATCTATATCTCGACGACTAATACTCAACGACGAAACCTAAGGTGTTATATATATATATATATATATATATATATATATATATATATAATTTTTTGTTCCTCTTAATCATGTAGGGGATCACTCCTCCCGTAATTGCTTTTCGTCTGGGCACACTTGGATTTTTGACTCCGTTTCCTTTCAAAATGTTTAGAACCCAAATGAAGAGTGTTCTTGAAGGTTAGCTAATGTTTATGATAATTTGGTCAATAAATCCTAAGTAACTCGTCGTAATGTATTTTATTGTATGTAGTTGTTCGTTGTGACAGTACTTAGTAGGTGAATATCACCAAAGCCGTACTTTGCTGTTCGCTGCTCTTCATGAATTTAAGCGTGTTGTGAACTTATTATTTATCCAACCAGTTCGCAGTGAATCTTAGAAGCTTCTGTCTTTCATCAGTTAATAGCAGGTGCATACACTCTTTGTGTTCTCCCAAATTCTAATATCCTGATTCCTCCTTGTCTCTTTTTTTTCTTTCCAAATTTATTTCACTGGATCATACTCTTCAAATAACATCTTCAAACCTTAATCTTCCCGATTACTACTTATACTCTTACTCTTACCTCTACCACTACGGGATTTGAATCGACAACTGCATCTCGGTGCTAATGTGGTGTAGCAACTCGAACTGATGTACGTATGTACGAAGTTCTACGTTGTTACTGACTAGTATTTGTTAAGGTTACACGATAGGGTGTGTCATGCTAGTTGACTGAGATAGTTTAACGTATGAATTACTTAAACTAAAACGGATATTGTACATTTTGAGAGTGATTGTATATTTTGTGCTTTAAAAAATATCATGTAATGCATAGGATGTCTATGGGAAAAGATTTGAAATCACTTCACGTATATTTATCCATAATCTAGAAACCTGATTTCCTAGAATCCTAATTTTATAAGTATGTATGAGTTGTTAGGATATAATCTTTCAGATAATTGTTTATTTAATTTAGGAAGGTTTAAAGTTATATCTATTGAATGCCCGTTTGTCTAGCATTCCTTTTACACGGAACTACACTCTACTCACCCTAAATCAAAACAAATATAAGAAAACAAGACAAATTCTAAATAATGGGAAAACAGAAGGCAAAATAGTAAAAGTACAAGGGTGTCGACAGATCTGATTGAACGCTTGAATTGGTTTCCTAAGCTATTTTAATAACCCCAGGCTAATTCTGCACGACACTAGAGAAAAGGCGCAAAATGTGGAAAGTACGTTTTACCCCAAGGTTAGTTTATATGCAGAAAATCGAGGATATTTATTGCGCTTCAGATAGCCTTGGGCTACTGGAACCCTGATAAACATAGTAGCACGGTAGATAATCATCCAATCAGAAATGTGACGCGTGGCTCATCACTTTCTAGATCTTTTTGAGAATCTTCTATTCAGTGCTGATTGGATGAAATGTTTCCCCACGTTTTCAGGGCCCCTCTAGGCTTTTTTCGAGGAATACTTTGGATCTCTCTAACAGGTGCATGTAAAATTCACAGGAGAATCTATTTTATTCCCAATTTATCCACTAGCACTGATCAGCTGGCGTCCTGTGATTTGAGTTTGCACTCGGTATACACTTGTCAGAATTATATCCTACTAACAAACTCTCATATGAACTTGGACTTGTATTTTTCTATCCCATTCAGGTTCATCTTATTGTGTATTACGAACTCGGCTTTGTTGTCAAGTTATTCGCAGTAATGTTATGAATCATATTGGCAATAATAATCCTGACATACAGAATACCTCAACTGCCAGCAATTGTAGTAGTGAGAATCAATCTCAGGCATCTAACTGTTCTAACGATATTAGTTCACGCTCCAGTTCACCAGATACTGAATATCATGTTAGTATTTTCTTTCATTTTTTCTGATAATTATGTTTAAATTGAACAAAATTTACCCTTCCACCGTTACTGTTTATCATGACGATTTATTAAATGTATTTATTTATCTGTAAGAGTATTTTATAGATCATTTTACAATTTCTGAGACAAAATTATGCTACATAAGAACTATAGGGAGTAATTTCCTACAAATTCAATTCTAAACTATTCTCTAGACTGTCGAACACAGTCTTAACTTAGCCAAAGTCAGAACAAGTAAGTTATTTGGCTCGACAAACTTCATCTGTTTCGAATGGTAACCAGAGTACAGGAAAAATTAGTCAACAAACCGAATATTGTTTTATAATAAACATTAAATTGTGATTGCTGAATAACCAGGTCATAGTTATACAAGGTCTAAGGGAGTCAATGTGGTGGTGGGCGTCTCATGTTATCATTGGTGGGTTTGTTTATCGATCACACTTTACAAGAACCTTCACCTAAATTTGAACGAATTGTTTTACAGTAGCTAATGTTAAGACATTAAGGTAGAAAAATATATTTATGAAATTTCAGCTTCGTCCAACGTCGAATAGAAGTATTGTCAAAATATTGTTTTTGAAGGTAACAGCCAAACTATGTCCCAGAAATTCACTTGACAGTAAAGCGAGAATTACTTAAAAAACCTTAATCATTAATTATTACTTCCTAAAGTTTATAACCATCAACAAATAAGATGCTAAAACAAGCTACTATCCCTAAAAGGAATGTGTTGCCATTAAAGAAGGATGATATCAGGGTTCAGAATAGGTGTCATCTAGGTTGGTGTCAGCATTTCACTAACCTCTCCTATCTCCGAATTCAATGACCACATATTACACAAAAAGCGTACTCAGGAAAATTAACTTTTACAAAATATTTTCTGTTACCTCTAGTTATATTTATCTACCTACATGTATCTAGAAATGCATGTACTTTGAAAGAACAGAGAGAGTATCATTTAAAAGAATCTCAAAACACATACCGAAGGATATGATCCTAAATGGCCTCAAATTGCGAAGTAGTGTCACAGGAAGAGAAGTGTAACGTATACAAGTCATTTAGTAAATCTTGACACTACCTTCCTACTGATAAATAAACAATATAATCTCGAATTTCTACGTTATTTTATTTTATTTATACAAATCCAGTGCATATATGGGAGTTTTAGAGGACACAAAATTGCATTGTATTCACTTTATCTCATTGTGTTTATTATTCTTATTTTATAAAACATATTTCCTCCATTATTAAACTATTTCTTGATTTTAGTGTCACTTCGTATTAACCCTGTAAAAGTCATTTGGTGTGGTTAATTGTTATAACTCGTGGCCTTATGTCCTATGAATATATAACGTAATGATACCGCCAATTACAGAACAGCGATTTATCGACCGCATCAATGGCGCGTAAACCCGTATCGGTCCTGCTTCCTGCCTAGCCCTGCCCGTTAAGTCTAGAACACCAATCTCAGCCTCTGAAATATGAATCATGTACTTCAAACATACTGGATTTATATACAAACCGGACATACCACATCGTACCATAAAATAGAAAATAACATTTGTACAAGATCTAGCCAAAAGTGGCTGTGAATGTGGGAGACTGTAATTAATAGACTGGGTATAATTCAAGAACGGTAAATCGTATAATAATAGTCTATGGATCAAAATAAAGCTTATAATAAGAGGAACATGAATATGCATAATTTAGCTACTTAATAATTATACAATAAATATATATGTATCGTATCGGTCCATAAACAATTCCTAAAAGTTACCATTCATAATTTCCGTTGGGATATAACATTAATAAAATTATTTGTTGTAATTAATCAATCATGACTTAAATTCCTTATATAAACAATTATAAATTTAAGTTGAAGGTTGTTTGTTAGCGCGATATAGATTGAATTAAAGCATGTTCCGTGGAGGATGGTGTTAGGACACGCTAATTGACCATTTCTTCTTGAAGAAGACTCTAGAATATTCTTGTGCGAAAAACATAATTATACTAACATTTTTTCTCATTGTGATTTCTACTTTCATTCAACTTTTGTTTATGTAAGATGTAATTACATTTCTGTTCAACCATGTTCTGATTTAGAGACCTGTCGAGTGAATTAGTGTCCAAAGAATACTAAGCAATAAGAGTATCTGAGTCGCAGTAAGAGAAATCATAACATTGTTTGAATCACAAGTTTCATAATTTTTATTATACTTCGTATATGCCAATTTACATTACTATTAAATTCATACGTTATGGTAGATCATTTTAAATTATTTGTCAGAAGTACTTTGTTTTTGCTATTCATATTCCCTTTGACTTAAGACAGCTTATTGAATCACATATGTTCATTCGAATTAAAATAACTGATAATCCTTAGTTTTGAGGCTCCTTAATCGTGACGTTTTTACTGTCTGATTCTTTCTTCCTTCTCAATACTTTGCCTCAGTTTTTATGTTGATACGTACGAACAGTTCTAACTTTTATTATACTAGGTATATGTAGCTATAATTTTAATCAAGTTAATTATTATATCTTCTACGTATTTGTCTGTGCATTATTTTCTCCTCTCGTTCCATATCTCAACTCATTTCAATTAACCATCTTCATCGCCCACTCTTAGTTGGAATTCAGTGCTCTAAGGTTTTGTCCATTGCATATAGTCTTCCTCCGTCATCACTTATTTGCTACTTATCAACAACATACTGTATACGATTCATCTTGTCGTATTTCACTCTTCTCTTTCTGTGACGTCTAATAGCTTGTTAACTCGAACTGATGAATTCTTTTGAGAGATACCTCGTTGTGTCCATGTATCTGTAGAAGATACAATAAAAATTTCCCCCCTTCCATACGTTTTTTATTTGCAAAGATTCTTTTTAGATTCCCCCCAACGTTCCCAATGTCCAATACTTCTATCATTATGAACACTTCTGATCAATTTTTCATCCGTTTAGTTATTAGAGTAATTTTCTATTGAAAACTTCATTTCGAACCTTAGTTTTTACTATATTTGTATTGTCTATTTGGCTCGTCTCCTTCACTATATTGATACGTTCGTGGTAAACATTTGCGGATAACTCCAACTTGTCTAAATGAAATCTTCACTGAAAATTACCTCCTAATGTTCTATACTCACCCGCTAAATGCACTGAAAAATAATTGGAAATGATACACTTAAGAAGTATTTAAAACGTTGTAAAGAAAATCAGCCGAGAATTTTAGTAAAATCGAATTCGTCCTTAAATTAGACAAGTAAAAACAGGTAAAATAGACTTCATGGTCTTAAATAAAAACATACTATTCACTCTAATTAGGGCTGTACTAACCATACATATATTTATATAACTAGATATAAATTTCTCCATTGTATATAAAATTTCTGTCTTTTAAAATTGAATGTAGATTGTCTTAGTAGTATCTGTTCTCACATTTTAAACAACCATTCAGTTGACTGTTTTCACTACTAAACTTTCGTATTACTATCTGTTTTCTTTGTATCATAGTTCCTAAATGACCTAGTTATTGATCGTGGCCTTTCTCCATTTATCTGTGATCTCCTCATTAAGGTGAATGGTAGAGAAGTAACTACTGTAGAAGGCGATGGTAAGCAAGCGTCTAATTTTTTTAATAACGTTTGTGCATATGCAATTGTAGTTATTATTCTTATTATCTTTGCTAAAACAGACTTTTATGTACCAATATGACATTATAACCGACCAAATATCTGATTACCGAAGTTACAGATCCTTTGTAATGCAAAATGACTTTAGCTACCATATAATGATGTTAGGTAATTAGACCACGATACTGGATCATGGTGTATTCACAGACACATTGTCCAACTGAAAGTAGCGAACCAGGTAAATGATCATCACTAGTATTTTTTACACAAGTCCTAGCAGTCCTCGTCACACAGTGAATCCAAAGTCAAAATTAATCTTTTAGGTAAAATAATAGTCTATATGCTTGTCCATCTTTGCTCACTAATTAACCACGTATTACTTTTGCTGAACTCATTGTGAATATTTTCGAAACGTGGTAATTCCTTAATTCCTAAAGCTAAATTATGACCAGCGGTGTGAGACACTTATCTACCAATGGTATCAGTAGGTGATAGTGCAATGTTCCGAGTTTATTCGACTTAGGAATGTTAATCATTGTTCTCCAAAACCGTGGTCTAAGGGTAAAGTACTCTTTGTGAGTCTTCAAGGTCCTGGGTTCGACTCCTAGCGAGGTTGTTGGTACACAGTGTTGAGGAGTCCCGTACTGGGATGAAATAACTGCCTAGTGCACCCTGGCTTTCAATATTTGATTAAATAAAATCAGTTTCCTTTGTATACCCTAAAATCCAACAATTTCCATAAACCTCAACCTAATCACTAATTATTCATGAACGAGTTTTAGAAAACCACATTAAGAACTTTTTTGGATACTTTGAGTCAGTCGAAGCTGTTTTATTATATTTCATCTGACCTTGTTCCATAGATACGAAATTCAGTAGTGACTCTGGATTTTTTAGAATTTTTAGCTACCTCTGGACACCAATTATACTTCTTCATTTGGTTGGTTGCGAAGACTTTTTTTTCGTATCACACGATGAATTCTGCTGGTAAACCGTTATAAACTCTCAGAGTTCCGAACAACTGCGCACTCACAACCTCGTTACAGATTGAAATAAAGGTCTTCCATTTTCATAAATGTAACCCATTTACAAAGAACTTGTTCGTGTAATCGGAGCTTTAAACCATACTTTGTGTTGAAACTGCAGTGAACGAAGACCTGGTATGGAAAATGAATTCATTATGAAAACCTTACATTACATAATTCATTTGCACATCTTCCATCAGTTGTCGCTTACATCCTTTATGATCCTTCCGATTCTCAATTCCTTTTTTCCCCTTTCTGTCTTCAGTTCAATATTCTCACCCTTCCATTGACAGGTGTTGTGACCTTATGTCCGGCTTTTTATCACGTGATTTATCCACCAATCAAAATACGACTTATACGGTCTTAGCACTGTGCCAAACCAATGACGTTTGACCGGTATGAGCAGCCTAGCGTCCTTATTGGTTCTATGTTCGCCTAGCCCGTCCGCTTGAGTCCAGAACACCAATACCAGCTTCCACTATGCGAATCGAATCGATTAATTTATTTCAAACATACTGGGTTTATATATCAACCAAACAGAGCGCAACGCACCATACAATAGGAAATAACACAATAAAGCCAAAAAGTGGCTGTGAACGTGAAAGGCAGTATTCAATAAACTGAACATAGCTTAAGAACCGTAAATCGTACAATAATAAATTATAGGTCAAAACAAAGCTTATAACAATGGGAATATAGATATACATAATCTAGTTACAGAATATTTATACCGTGAGAATATATAAATAATATTAGTCCATTAATAAGTCTCAGACGTTACTCGTAACGTAATCTTCACTAGGATATAAAAACAGGCATTCCACTTCTGATCGGTGTTACATACTACTTGTGTTTATCGACATAAGTACGATACACCACAAAATTAGTGATACTACCCGGTTGCCCAGGATCAAGTAGATGGAAAGGGCAACGCTAATCTGCAACCTATTCGTCGAAAGTCAAAACGTCGTAATTAGTGAACCATTGCTCCAATTTTTATAACATGATATCTTTGGACTAATAAGTTATAATCCTGTAGTCTACATTTCCAAATTCAGGATATTACGTATCGAAGAACTAGTATCAATAGAAATGATAACTTAATTTGTCTGAGAGATAATATTTTTAAAGCAATAAGAAACTCTGGTTTCTAGGAGATTCACATCGATTTGTTTAATAAGGTATTGTTTGTCATGTAAATATTCTCAAATTTCTGTGCTCATTACTTTTCGTTAAATGAAGGTTTGCAATCAAGTGGATATAAAAATATTCGTAACTATTTCTTTAATAATTAACCAATCAAAATTAAATTAACTTACATATCAGTTTCCTAGGCATGAGTCATACTCTAAGTTGAAAGGCCAGTGACACTAGCCGGTTGTCCAAAATAAACTAATCAAAGCGGGGTTCAGACCTGAAGATTAATTACTCCGCCTGTAGTTCTTCTAGGTCTACTGCCATTCCCTGACCTGAGTAAAGAAGGTTTGAGTGTGGGCTTGGTAACCCCATCCTGTAGAAAACAACCTTGCTAAGAAAACGTCAACCGAAATAAACAAACTAAACCTGTGTATTAGTGTGTGAATATCGTAACTTTTGATTATTTTCTGATGATTGAGCCTTTCTAAAAATTTGTCTGTTAATTGTAGTATCATTTTTAACAAAATAATCACACAAGCTACCTTTGTCTTATCATTTTTAGATAATAATAGGTGTGGTCAGTAGTTTGTTACCTGTGTATAAACTTAGGTGTATACATAGTTACAGAACTATATTTGCTTTCTTTTTTCTCTGATTTCAAGATATATTTCTCGTAATTGTTCATTAAAATTTTCAAATAGTATAGTACTTTCTACCGTACCATAGCTATTGTAATCCTAATAAAGAGAAGTAAATGAAACAGGTCTACCCATTATTATTATTATTACTTTCTTGTTAAGATGTACTTTATGATTAAATGTGGAATCCATTATTAGGTCATCCAAAAACCTACCAAAATAATTTTTTCTTCGTAAAATAAACCCAGTGATTTCCTTAGTTTGATAGAAAAATTTATGAATTAATTATAACATACCATTTGTTCTATTTCCTTCTGTCCGTTCAACTCACTTCCACTTAATTATACTCAGTTATTCGTAAATCGGTTTTAAGGAGTATTTCATATAAGATTCAACCTTTATTTTGTTAAATTGAAATAAAATCTCGTCTAGATTATTAATTTGGATTTTAAATGTGTATTACTAGTTCATGCAATCAGTTTGATTATGGATTATAATGGTATTTAGAGATTTAAACAGTTAAGTACAAATATCTCAATTCAATGTTGAATAAGTTTTCTTTAAGTTTCAATGAGAGTGTATACTTTACAAGTTTTCGCATACACATAGTCTCTCAGTATTTGCGAGCATAAATTTAGTATTGAAATTCACCTGAACAATACCATTTATAGCATCAACAAAATATCTTTATGTCAAACAAAAGTTGAGTTTGTAATACACTCGTAAAATAACCACTAAACTTTAAATAATATGTAAATGTTGCGTATATTTAATCATCAATGCTTTTTAATAGTTAAAGTCGTTTCATAAACCACTAAATCGAACAGGATTATAGTTGGATATAGTGTGATTAGCGATAATAAACAAATCAATTAATACAGTTTATAATCTATGATAACTGGAAAATTTACATCACTCTGCCTATTTCGATGTAGTTTATTAACCAGTGTATATCAATATAGTAGAAGAGTTTTCTTAACTTTCAAATTGACTCATTGAACTGACAGATTATGCATTAAACTGTTATTCTGAATACTATCAAGTATTATATGAATTCAATATAGTGTTCCGATAATGTTAGTAAACAAACTTAAAACAACTATCCATAATAAACTAATCCATATTCATTGTTTTTTTACTGTTTATTCCTCATTATTTTCGGCTTTTTTTTCATGGACTCCTACGAGCACGAATAAGTTTATAGGACTTATTATGTCTATATAAATATAGATAAAAATTAACTAGTTACTTTGTTCTCTAACCTTTATTTATTTAAATTTAGATTATTTTTTACATAGATAATGATAATAATTTATATTCTGAAAATAATAATTACAGAATTCACGCCAGTTTACAGGCATGATCAATTTGATATAAATAGTAACACTAGATGTGCAGAACAAACGTGTGATAGAAGAAAGTTTTAAGTATACTAGTTCAGTAATTGTTTAGGTAGTACATGTATTATAGCGATCCAATGCATCAGCCGGGAGTTTTTAATATTTCTTAAATGGACAGCCTGTTGATTTATGAACGGAGTAATTAAGGTCACTTCGTGTGCCAGATCGAAATAATGATAATTATCTACAACTAGAGAAATTAAAACGAAAACAGAGAGCACGGAACAAGAAAGCAGTAATTACCAAAATATATGAATCAAGTCTACCTAAATGCGTGTGTCATGTGACTCAGTGATATACTGTCGATGTTATTCAAATTAGTTAAATTTGCTAGGGATGGTGTTAACATAAAGTGACAGCAAGTAGGTGATTTTACTTAGGGAATGCACTAATAAAAATGGCTAAACATTTCAAGATCCTATAATACTACTTGTGAAATGAGTTACACTTACAGGTGCTAGACCATTCAATGCATTTTCAGAGGAGCAGTATGCATCGATGCAGTGAATAAATAATGGGAGTGATTTTATCGTACGGATAGATTGTGGTAGGTTGTTCCAGAGTCTAGAAAATTTACAGGTGAAGTAATTCATATAAAGAGACGATTTAGAATGAGTTTGTTTCACTAGTGCCAAGGAATTACGGATGTCATAATGAAAAGTTTCTGCATATTGAATCACGTGATTAGATGTAAAGGATAGTTTTAAAAATAATTTTATGTTGAATTGAATTAAATCAAGGTAATACATTTTAGTTTGGCGTAAAGATTAACTTGTCTATTTATTTATTTATTTTTTTGAATAAATTTCTCGTTTATTTCCACTTTCACAAACAAATTCATGGCAAATGTTTTAAGGACTATTTATTTTAAATATTAAAAATTATAGACCAATCATCATTGATTCTCATTATTTATTATTTAGAGTTTCGAAAATGAAAATTTAATTTTTCTAGTTTTTGTGGTCCGTTGGTCTGACTCCGATTTAATCAAGTGATGATGATGTTAACGAAATAATGATTCCGCCTACCCTCGTATATATTTATCGATTTAATTCATATTGGTGAACAACAGGATAAAATAAGTCAAGGACAAGGATTATCTTTGGATATGTATATTTCATACACCCATTGCCTCAGACCGATAATAAAAGAAACGAAGTGTAGAATCAGACCTGAGAGGTCGAACATATAAACTCCATCCGACAAAATCGTGACTCAATCATAAACTACCTTGATTGGTTTAATCGTTTCGTATATGCATATAAATATTACTGTATGTTATAGTAAAGCCCGATGAGGATCTAATCGAAAACAATGTTGTTGTCTTATGTATATTGTCCAATATTTATAGTCAAACGGAAATAAGCTGAATACGTGATGAATAAGGTAAACGTTGGACATGCATACGTTCTTATAAAAGCAGTCAAGGTTAGTAAGCGTATAATTGATAAGGTCAAAATATGATTTAAGAAGCATAAATAAATCGATCCGTCCGGAAGCTAGAATAACCCGTTTGGGCTTGACACAGTACTGACATACGTATTTTTTGCCTATGTTAAAACATTCTCAGTTTCAAATAAAAGGAACAATTATTAGGATTCACAATTTCTGTTCTAATTTACAATTCGATTATCTAAAAATCCCTCGTGCACATCTTGCATATTGTTGGAAAAATGATTTCTTTAACTGTTAAAGTTAATATTAGCAATATGTCCACTTATCTTTTAAGTAGATTATATGCATTAGATACTCTATGAACACAGCAACACAACTCGATAAACTAAAGCTCATAACCAATCTCATCAACACGAAATGCTTGTATTCTGTACGTTTACCTCTAAATATATATTAAACATTTGATTATTCTAGTCTTGGCCATTCTCTGATTTTCCTTGTTTCTGAATGAAGAAAATAAGTAAATAAAATTATTGAAACCCAGTGATCACTTAAAGCTTTTCATACACTAAGCTCTTTGCTAATATGTATTGTTTGAGGATTTGTGGTGTTACGTAATTGTCTAGATGAAAATGAAATAATAAAAAATTTTCGTGTTGACTTGACAATTCAAAATTTTGTTCACATTTCTCGTTTTTTTGATTTTCTTTTGTTCTGTCTCTCCTCTCAAAAAGCTTGGCCAGCCACACTCTATTACCATGGTATTCTTGTTCATAAAAGGCTTCTCTTATGATAATCTTTTGAAACAGTTTTCGTTTTATAAACGACAATACAGTTTTATAGCATTATAGTCTGTTATTTATTGAGTTAATTTTGAACAGACAAATTTCATAGTAATTTAATAGTTAGATTCGTGAGTCAATTGAAGCTAGACCATCATGAAAAACCTGGAAGCACTGGACGGCCGTTTCGTCCTAGTATGGGGCTCCTCAGCAGTGCGCATCCACGATCTCGCCTCGTAGGATTCTAATTCATGACCTATTGCGCGAACGCTGAAACTCTAGACCACTGAACTGGTATCCAATAGCGTCAATGTCTAACTTCATAGTGTTTTTCAAGCGTTTTTGTCTGGTTATTTTAAAGTTTTATTGAATACTTATTAATACTTCTCAACATTTTTGAAAGCTTTAGATAAATATGATGGTTTCCCATTTGTACATGAGTTTATATTTGAAGTTTTTTTTTTTTTTGTTACAGCAACTTCTGTCTAACTTCATTTTTGTTTCACTGACCATGTAAATAACAGGGAAAAAATACTTATTCACGGCAAATATTGGAGTATAATGTAATTTAGTTATGAATCAACATTGTTGTTTGAATAAGTGAATAAATATTTAAAGAAAACACCAATATTTTATCTGTTACGGACATCCAAATTTTTCACTAATTCAGATATAAACCCACTAGGTTCTGTATGCGCAGTTTTACATAGAAAAATATTTAAAGTACTCAAATGTCAGGGATACTTTATGGTCTGTTTGTGAACTGAAAAATCCACACTAAAACATCGAGAAAATGATGCGGAGAACAAAGTCAAACAGACCACACAACGTGATAATCTGGATGTAAATGTAGGCTATGTACTGCAAGTTAATTATTCCCTCAGTTCAAACATCTGTAAATATTCCTCAAGTGTAAATGTTGCGGTCCAACATTTTACAATAAAGCTGTATAAATTGTCTTTCCCTTCTCCCTATACCTATCCGGATTAGTCCAGCATTATTAACATTCATGGTGATCGAATCGGATCATAATGCCTCATTTACATTGGATGGTCCTAATGGTAGGTTTATAAACAGTTGTCTCTGTCGGATTATCTATCTAGAAAAATACATTCTCGAGGTAACTAACCTTAATTAATAATAAATTAAGACAATTATTTAACTTCTATGCGAGTGGGCTAACTGTTTAATAATGAAAATGTGGATTACCAACGAGACGAAAGGCTTAAAATAGGTTAATGCTAAATACTTGTCCAAACGTGTTCAACAGTTAATTCTGTGTGTAGCGAGATTTTAAGTTATTTGATGTGGAATGCCAACAAAATTCGAAATGTAAAATGTATATTTTAGTATATAACTGAAATTAAGAAGTCATTTAATACATTGGATGCTCACAATAATTTTTTTCTTATTGTCAAAATAATAGTACGTTTGATGAAATTAATCATACAGACTCACTCAGCGATAGTGAATAGCAATAAAATCTGACTTTAAATGAATCGGAGTTATGTACACTACTTACCTATACAAACAGTTCATTTAATCTATCATGTTTCATAGTCCTACTATACTCATCAGTAACATTTGAATATGTTTGGACAAACGATTATTTCAAATACAATTTTTACAACTATTATCACACAATATCTAAGGATGCATTGTCATATGATTAAAATACCTAATTCTTGAAATCTCTAACTTAGTGTTATTTGATTAATTAATAAAAAAACGTTTTAGGGATTCATAGACTTATTGATCTCTAAATGAAATACTAATAACCATTACTAAACTTAGATAAATAATATTGAAATAAATTATTCTGCGAAATAAATACCTAAATGAAAAAAATGGTAATCCCTATTATCATCACTCATGTAGACACCGGGCTGTTTCTTCACTTGTGTATAGTTATTTTTAGATTATCCCTCTAAAAATATACTAAAACATAACTTAAATATCAACTGAATAAACAGATGTATAAATGAGATAAAAAATAAAGACATTTAAAACTGCTCACTTGTCAAATGTTGCACAGATGAAATACGTATAACGCCAAAATTGTGTAGTATAGAATCTCAGTGGTAAATACACTGTACATGAGGGCGAATCGGAAAGTTCACTCTTAATAAACACAAGTTTATCGTGATCGTAGTCACTAGTTTACCTGAAAACAAATTAACCTAATCAACAATTCAGAATTACCACCTTTTTTAAAGAGTTGCAATAAACATGTCATTTACCTACGGCATTGAAGCACGGAAATAGTTAAATAAAAAGAATGTCGACGTTTCATTGAAGAAAATGTTTTTTTTCGGACATTGGCATTTTCTTAAACTGTGCAATCGTAATTACATAGAATCTCATCATGTTTACTCTATAATGAAGTGTAGTATTTACCTGTAAAGTGTTATTAATTTCATTACAAATTTAATATACAATTCTCATTTTTTTTACAACACCGAATGAATCATGCTATCTTGTAATGTAATGTAATCGTGTAATGAATCATATAATACGTGTACAATTGTACACACTCAACTACTGGTGATTATGACTCACTAACCATCTTGATACCACATAAAAGCCTTCTATCAGCTAAACAAATACATAGAATTCACAACCAACACCGACAGACTGTCTAAACTTATAGATAAAGAATTTACTTCGGAACAAACCGTCGTGTCGCTTGAGAAGCTGTTGGTCGCTGAGCGTGACCCTTCCTTTTGTATACATATTTTATGCAAAATTCATTTGGATTTTGATGATCAACTGGTATTATGAAATGGTAGAAAGTCATATCCCCAAGTAAATAGTGGGGGTCGGGGTTTTAAAATCGATTTCATACGGACATGACAATAAAACTAAGATATACAACTTGTTACTGTTGGAATAACACTGTCTGTTAATCAAGTCAATTGGAGGACTTGAAAAAATTGAACGAATACAGACTCAAGTGTAGGCGGGGTGCTATGATGTAAATAAGTGAATCCTTAAAGTTTATTGACCTTCTGTGAAGATTAGAAATTTATGGATTTTATCGCTTACCACCCCATTTCATGCGAAACTTGTCAACCTACATACTTAATCATATATGAAAGACTACTCACATATTTTTCTGACTAGCTTAAATCTCTCGATGGCTTATTTGCTCGCTGGTATTTGTTTATATTCACTCGCATCCGCATTTCTACTCGTATTCGCTTCGTGTTTGTGGCCTTATGATCTGGGCTGAGCGATAATGAACTGTAGTTAATACTTCGCATTATCTCCTGAAATCTATACAGCATTGGATGTTATTTAATAGCAATATGAAGCCTTAGGATTTTTCTCGAGGATTTATTACCACAACATAAAATCATATGTTGTGCAAGATATCTATCACGAAACTATCGAAATTGTTCCGAAATGCCATTTGGTTTGATTACTGCTAAAGACTACTTTGATATATGGTATTCTCATTTAAATGTTTACTTATTTGTCCGCTTCATTTTTTAAACAAAATTATTCTTTTCGACTAATAAAGTAATTAATTTTTCAAGACCTATTGATGCTTACGTTTTTTTCAGGTCTTATTATCAGTACACCTACCGGAAGTACAGCTTATTCAATGACAGCTGGTGCTAGTATGGTACATCCATGTGTACCCGCTCTAGTGTTGACACCAATCAATTCATTAGCTTTAAGTTCACGTGCTATTGTTCTTCCAACATCTATAAAATTAGAAATCTCTATTGCCAGTAAAGCTCGTTGTTCAACTGTACACTTTTCTTTTGATGGACGTTCGCGACACTCAAATTTATTGCATAAGGGTGACGTTATCCTAGTGAGTGCTTCACCGTTCCCTGTTCCATGCCTTTGCAGTGAAAATGAGGTATGAATTGGTAGTTTAAAGTTGTTTTTTCTCAAGTGTGTTTTTGTTAAACATTATGTTGGGTGTTATGTTATATATTTTAGAAATATATATGAGACTACACAAACTTCAGTTGTAATCCTCTTTACTGTCATGACATTTGATACAATTAATCTCTTTGGTAAATTTTGACAATGTAAGTAGGAAGACGAAGTTCATCAAAACTATGTGATATATTAGTGAAATAGATTTTAAACAATGTAATCACACATTAATTTGTTAAAACATTTGTTAATGCTAAAAAAATCAAGGTCAAGCTGAACTAATCAGATAAAAAAACGCGTAAATCACACCACTTTAGGTATCAAATCGATGTTACTACTAAAGGAACTCAGAACTAGGGAAGATATTGTCATAGTTCCAATGGACAAAGGACGCACAATAGTGATCATGGACAAAGAAGAATGTATCAAGAAAGTCGAGGAACTACTTCAGGATAAAAGCGTATACAAACCGATGAACACAAATCCAGTCAAAAGGTTAGACAACCAAATATCAAATCAAGGTCAATGGAGAATGAAATCTAATGAACCAGTACTTCCTCGATTCTGCGGTAGTCCGAGAATACACAAATCAAACATCCCACCACGTCCAATTTATCACTCCCCGGAACCCCAACATACAATTTGTCAAGAGAAATTTCACGAGAAATTTAGTGGATTCATCCAAACACTTCATCAAATCCCCCATACAATTCCTGGATCAGATTAAGGACATTCAAGTCAACAACAATGAGCTGATGATATCCTTCAATGTAACAGCCTTATTCACCTCAATTGAACCAAGCTTAGCAAGGGAAACTATCCCTGCGTCTTACCGACACAAATATGTCAAAGTACACGAAGCCTCAAAGTCAAAGTTTAATAGAACCCATAGATTTATACTTATGAACATATTTTCAATTCAGCAACAAAATCTACGAACAACCGAAAGGAACACAATGTCAGGACTTGCTGTCGAAGCAGTGATGCAGAGACTGGAAGCCTCGATCCTACCAGTGATCAAGCCGAAAATTTGGATTCGTTATGTGAACGACATATTCGTCATCGTCAAGAAGGATGAGCTGGAGAACACCTACAAGCTGATCAACAACGTCTTCGATGACATAAAGTTCACAATGGAACAGGTTTCAAAAGAAAAGCTACCATTCTTGAATGTATTAATCACCAGAACCGACACAGGTAAGCTGGAGACCCAAGTGTATAAGAAGCCGACCCACACAAATCAAATTCTCAACTACAATAACAACCCAAGAGCTCACAAAATCAACTGCGTACAAACTTTGTTCAAGAGGGCGAGGACACACTTGCAGTCCGAAAAAATGAAGAAAAATACCTGGAGATCATCTTTCAAAAGAACGGTTACCCAATCAGCTTCATCAAAAATTACCAGCCACATGCATCTTCAGAAATAAAGTCAAGTACAGAAACCAACAAAGAAATTACAACGAGATTGTTGAAGCCTTTTGGAATAGGTGTAGCACATAAACCAACAAAATAAGTTCAATCGATCCTATGCAAACCAAAGGACTAAATGAAAAAAGGAGAAAAACCGAACACCATCTACAAAATAAATTGTTTCAAAACACTACATCGGACAAAGTGTATGCTTCTTTCATCTTCATCTGCATGATCATCAATTGGTGGTCAAACGCCATGACATATCCTCGCTTACATCAATGCATGTGGGCATACATTCGACTGGAAGAATGTAGAGATCCTGGATAGAGGCAATTCTAAAGACACCAGATAATTTTTAGAAGCTTGGCACTCAGGTCAATCAGCAATCAACAAACACGACGAAATCGATGCAATTTATCAACCAATCAGAAAAATTATGACCAAATATAGGACCAAAAATCAAACCAACGGGAGATACAACCAAAACAAAGAAGTAAACAATGACAGATTTAAGGTCAATAAGAACCAATCAACATCGAGGTCTACAGGACAAGCTGTGAGCCATATGTAGAGAAATTCGAACACTTCACTTCTGCCTGAAGTTTGTGCTGATGGTATCATTCAGAATAACGATGAAAGCTCCACGACCAAACCATCCATCCCAGAGAACTAAATTCCGTCAAAATTGTAGATTTGTCTTCAGTCACATAAGAGTACTGTGCATGGTGAAGTTTCACATGATCAAGGCTCTAAAGAAACCGTGACAACTGTCGTGCAAAAACACGAAGACTCAGTTAAAACCTATTTTCTAACTTGATTCAATCATGCGTTTGTTAATAAAAACAGATAAGTATTCGTTATATGTGTTTACTGGGTCGCTATTTGTTTCTACAGCTATTTTGGTGCATGTTCAGATATCCTAACTTGCAAATCACAATCGCTCCGTACTTGTGTATGTTATATAGTTCTGATAAAGCCGATTATCTCATAACATTATCAAAAGTTATCATAACTTCCTTTACCAAACCGTTTTGAATGGTGATGGTATACAGTTGAATCGTCCACTACAAGAAACAAATAACTTCGTTCCATATTTATAGAAATTTATCATTTTTATTACTACAATTGCAATCATTCCATGTGTTTCCGTCTATCTGACTTGTTCTGATTATATACTAAGGTCAACTGAAATCAAATTTTATACAAATTAATTTGTTTTTTTTTCTAAATCTACACATCTAATATTTGTGAACTATATACACCCATATACATACTAAATGTATTCGTAGTAAGTTAATAGGGTTAAATTGATTGTTCGATTACTAAATCGTTTACTCAGTTTGACTATTTTAATGTATAAGACTTCATACTATAATTACTCTTTAGCTATATTGTAATTATTATTGTATATTATAGACCAGTGTATTATTTTAACCTTATACACAGAATTAATATGCTTATCTGAGCTATTTATTTATTTACTTAAATAATAATCTTCATTATTATAATTACTCTAACTGTTTATAACCAAAATATAATGCTTTAAATATTAATTTTTCACCGGTCATTAAGTTCATGTTTGTATAGATTTATTAACAAATTGATTAAATTAGATATATTTCTATTACTTTATTTTTGACCAATAATTTATAATTCTTAGATAGTTTCACCATAATAATAATAATAATAATAATAATAATAATAATAATAATAATAATAATAATAATAATAATGAAATTAACCTTTAAAAAATGTTTATTCATTCGTCGTATTACGTTATACTTATTATTAGTTCATATATGTAAATATATACTTTATCATCATCACATCTAACCTATCGTTACATAAAATCACGTTCACAAGAATCTTAAATTTCAACATCAATTTGTACCAAAAAATATTATTTATGTTATTTTTCTCTTAAAAATTACTACATAACTTGTAATTTCCCTTATTCACAATGAACAATATTGGTTACGGTTAGAATTAATAACTTTAAAATCTATTATGTAACAATCTTTTCCATTTCTGTTTAAAAAAAGGTCGATCTGTTGTAGAATCATACTGACTTATTCCACATGAATATTTAGCTTATATATATACTCGAATAGTCAAGCTGTAGGTAAAAATTCCGAGGTCAGAAGAAGAGATTTGACTAGCAATAATGTTCTTTTAGAAAAATAAAAATAAACATTAGAAACTGATTCATCAGGAGTCATGAGTTGTCCGGTTTTTTGGTTAAATAACTAAAGAAACGAGCAAGAGGGAATGGTATCTTCAAGGTAAGTGGACAATAATGAATTTAAATTTTGTACTATGAACATGAAACAAATAGATTGGTATGAAGCTCGACAATCGACAGTTAATAAGAAGAATGATTTACGCTCTTTGTTTATTTGGTTAGGAGAGCTGACCAACATAAATAAACTTTCTAGAAATGTTATGTTATATGAAAATATGTGACCATAAAAATGTGGAAATATAATTACACTAAAAAAAGTAAATGAACGTATTACGTAACTTTTAAAAAAAAATCCACTGATACAATCTAGATGTGAATGTGGATTAAGAAATTACTTATATCACTTAGTAACATTACTTAATATAATGTAGTGCATCAAAAATTAAATAGAAGATAAATGATTCTACATGAATTAAAAGTTGTGTTGTAATTCCAAAGATGTTTATTTCACCTTGAACTTCAACTTTTTCAGGTTACAGATTGGTTTTGTGGATTAGCACATTGTCTTAATTGGAATCTACGTCGACGTCAAAATGCAGTGATCAATTGTTATCCCACAGACAAATAATTTTAAAGATTCTATGTTCCGTTCTTACGTATTAATTCTTCCTGTATTTTATCCTGCCTTTCCTCAGGTCTATTTTATTGTGATTTAATTTTCTTTAAGATTTTGTTTATCTGAAAAGTTACTTTTTGAACATTATTTTTCTTATTTAATCGTAAAAGGTTTCCATGATTACTTAGTCATACCTCTGGTATATATTTTCAAAATTTTCAACAATAAATCAGACAACTTGTGGCCTGCTCTGCTTTTTGTTTCTTAAAATTGCTTTAAAACCTACTAAAATAATTGGGTGCAAGCAATGTTTCAAGACGTGTTGTGGTTAAATTTGTTAGGTTTCGTCAGTGTGTCTTCTGAAGTCGATTTTTTGTTATCAAGTAATCGGTGAAATACCTCAAGGCTGTGTTTTTCTTTGGATGTACTAACACCAAATGGATACATTGATAATCTGATACTACTACAGGCACACAACCACGCCAGCGGTGGCTGATCGCGATGTGATCAATCTGAGTCCAGGCTTGAGATGCAGAGGGAGGACGCCAGGTGGTACATCGGCGATGACTGTGCCGAAAGTTAGTGCTAGCCAGAAACATGTTGTGGTCTGTGCACAGTTGCAGTAGACGGTCTCCGTTATCTGTCCTGCCGATGTGCCACCTGGCGTCTCACTTCTGCATCTCAAGCCTGGACTCAGATTGATCACATCGCGATCAGCCACCGCTGGCGTGGTTGTGTACAAGACTGCCGCTCCTTTTAGAGTACCTATCTAGACTCTGATCATGCCTTGGTCTGCACCAATCTTACCTTACTTTTCAGTGGACAACAAAGTGACCGCCACCAACGGATTGATGTCAGCAAGTTGGTTGCAACTTCTGTTGCTAGTAAGTATCGAACCGAGCTAGCTACCACTCCACCGAAAAATATAGATGAGCATTGGTTGCAACTTCATGACACCAAGAAAATGGCGAGTAAAGCCGCTTGCGGCTTCGCGAAACGTCCCGCTTATAAGCACTGGGTTTCTTCAGGTTCCTTACAACTCATTGAAGCCCGTCGGTCTACTCCGAGTGACCGTGAGTTTGACCATAAACAAAGGATGTTACGTAGGAAAATTGGGCAAAGCTTGCGTAAGGACCTAGAAGCCTGGTGGTCGGAGCGTGTTAATGAGCTGGAACCAGCAGCTGCATCTGGTAACTACCGGAAGCTCTTCCAACTCATCCGAGCCACTGGCAGCAAGAAGCCTGGTGTGAGCGAAACAATCTGCAATGACGGGATGCCAATCACTAACATCCATCGACGTCTTGGACGATGGGCAGAATTCTTCGAAGGGCAGTTCAACTGGCGTGCTGCTCTGGCAACATCGGTCGGACTGTCCTGCCCTCCATGGCCGGTGACGACAGATCCACCAAATGAGGCGGAAGTCCTCAAGGAACTCCGACTCTTGAAGCGTTACAAATCACCGGACCCAGATGACTTACCTCCAGCTCTTTTTAAACATGGTGGTGACTTCCTAGTTAAGGAACTGACGACGTTGTTTACAAAGGTGTGGGAGCTAGAGAGTGTATCAACGTCATGGAATGAGTCGGTAGTTGTCCCTATCTCTAAAAAGGGTTCACGTCGTTCCTGTAACAACTATCAGGGAATAAGTCTACTTCCGATTGCGTCCAAGCTATTGGCTTCCGTCATACTTTGTAGGTTGTTCAAAACCCGAGAAAGATTGACTCATGAGGAGCAGGCTGGTTTTCGTTCTGGACCAGTGTTACGAAAGAACTGAAAACATTTGTCTGGTTAAAACCTTTATATTGTATATGGATAATTTTACTGTGTTTTTTAATGTATTTGTTTCACTCAACTTCTGAAGTTGTTTGTTTATATCACTATTTCCAGACATTTTGTTTTCTCTTGTCTTCGGTTTGGTATTTGGGAGTTTTTGCTCCGGAAACCTACAAAATTGACTATTTGTTTTGTAATTATTATAATTATTGCTGTTAGAACGACATTTGGGTCGACTATCTGTAAATTGCGAATAAAATTTGGTACCTAAATTGGAGTTTGGTTCAATTGCTCATTTGGGTTCGTAAATTGCAAATAGATCGATATACCGTACCTCAGTAGCGGGAACGGGCAAAAACTTGGACGTAACAACGAGGATGCATTAGTCATATCTTCACCCTCTGTCAAATGTTAGAACACCGTCATACTTATCAAAGGCCAACAATCGTAGTGTCTCTTGACATCAGAGCTGCCTTCGATTCGTTGGACAGGGCTGTTCTATGGGATTGTCTATTGAAGAAGGGTGTGCCTGAGAAGTTTATTAACATCCTAAAAGCCCTATATAAAAACACCTCAGGCAGAGTGAGGGCATACAACCACCTTTCTCCATTGTTCCATTCAAGCAGTGGGGTTAGGCAGGGTTGCCCAATCTCACCATTCCTCTTCAACTTTGCCATCGACGACATTCTGGAAACAGCTCTGATGGATGTAAGTAATGGCGGTGTGGATCTGCTGCCTGGAGAAAGACTTCTCGACCTTAAATATGAGGATGGTATTGTCTTACTATGCAATACTGCCCAAGCCATGCAATCTGCACTTAATCATTTGGCAATCAATGTCCGTAGGTTCGGTACGTGGTTAGCACCTTCGAAATGCAAAGTACTTCTACAAGACTGGCAGGATTCTAATCCTGTACTCACCCTGGATGGTGAGCAGATAGAAGTAGTTGAGAAGTTCGTGTATCTAGGTAGCTGCATAAGTGCTGGTGGTGGCGTAAGTGATGAGATCGATCCACGTATAGTGAAAGCCAGAGTGGCTTATGCCATTCTGGGCCATCTTCGGCGCCTTCGTGATGTTAGTCTGGCTGTAAAAGGTCGGATCTACAACGTGGCGGTGAGTAGTTTTGTTCTATGCTTGTGAAACCTGGTCTCTCCAAGTTGAGGATGTTAGACGACTCTCTGTGTTCTATCATCGTTGTCTCCGAAGGATTACTGACATCCAATGGCAACACCATGTTAGTAATGCAGAGGTTCGGCATCGTGTGTTTGAGCACAAAGATGATAACCCAATTGATGTCACCATCTTGAAACGAATTTCGTTTCACATAATTACACGTCGTGCATTATTTGCCGACACTGGGACTAGTTGGAAAAGGCGGAGAAGTGGTCAGTGTATGACACGGTGTCGTGGTATGAAGGAAAGCCACAAAGAGCTGGTTTCTGTTGGTTGTTCTCGATTCCCCGGCTGGGGTCCTAAAGATGGTGTAAGACAGTGGCTAGAGACGTTATCAGATATGGCTCAGAATAGAAGCCAGTGGCGAACCTGCTGTAACCTTCTTTTACTTGCTTCATAAAAAGTGGTTGTAACTTACTTAACTGAAAGATTTCTTTTGGTTGCACCTTTCCGTTTCCCCCATTATTATTATTACACAAACGTACACTAATCTGTGGTCGTTACTGTTCTTGTTTTTCCTCTCTTCTCTCCTATACTCACCCTACATTCTTTTTCTCTTCTCATTCTCATTGCTGTTGTGTGACGCATATATATATATATATATATATATATATATATATATATATATATATATATGGTTCCCCCTTGTTCTAATATTTATGCGCTCAAATAAATAAGTGAAATAGGGATATTTAGTTTTAGACAAGGTGCCTAGGTACGGCACCCATTGCAGATTATCATGTACACAAAAAGTAAAATCATGATCAGTAATGTTTGACGCGAGACGTACACACGACATATTAGTTTAAATTGAAAGTTTGATCAGAAATATCTGTAATAATTTCGAAAGATACTACTTACCAAACCCGTGATTTTTGATTGCTTTATCTTGAAGCTCATTAGAAATTTCGTATTTCACTGTAGGTGAGAACACTATAAACCTGTGTTCCGATTCACGATAAAAGAATGAACATTGGTACAGAGCTTCGTCTTGGATATCATAAGACACTTCCCTTAAAAACCCTAAATAGAGTTTTCATAATATATTTCTTGCGTTCCACTAACCCATAACCTTCTAAATGACAACGATATTTGTCTTCAGAAAGCAGAATAGTTGGGAAGTTCCTGCCATGAGGTGATGTTCAAACAAGGCACTTGATCAGGACTGAGAAGTACAACTGTCAACAAGCCTATGCTCAACAATATCAGTGTTATATTATAGAATAATTTTAGCTTCATACCAGTCAATAAACTGGTCAACTATACCCACAGTAAATAATCAGCGTATTTTGATGTAAGGAATGGCTTAAATGATATCGCTTCCGACACTGATAAGGTCCGTCAATCTTTGTCTATGCCATTGAAGATTGAGGTGTTTTAGGAGAGGAACTGGTGAAAGAATTTAATTCCATCTCTACTGGTTGTTGCTCACGAAACTTTAGGACAGACAACTTGTACGTTCTTTTATGCTGAAACATGGTAGATTTGACTCCGGAGTTGAATATTACACCCTGAGATCTCATAAAAGATAATGGAAAGCAGATGTAGACCAAACTCCCAACTAGAATTGGTACATCAATAAATATTCGTATTTGAAATTAGACTACGGCAAAGGTTAGTGTCATCGCTAATCCTGACATTTCCCCATTAAAAAAGAACGAAGCATTTGCAATGCAAGTACATGTACCGACATGAAATAGCCGCCCAAGTATAGGTGACAGGAATGAAGAAATACTAATTCTATAAGGGTTGTAGAATGCCATATTTCCCACCTACCTGGCACTCAAGTAGATTGTCTGACGACATTTGGTCTATCAGAACTGAGCATCTGGTCTTTACTAAATCGACCATTCCCAAACTCCGGCATATAACCAGTAAGTTAGCTCTGACTCCGTAAATTAGTCCACTGATATTTCCAAACCATTTCATCCAATAGTTGTTAGGTGACACAACTTTCAGCATTGTAGACACATTGTAAACACATTGTACTTCGACGAAGTGTTCATTGTAATATGATTGACAGAGTCCGATTTAGATTCATAGCCTCATATTTTAGATCGATACAA